GAACTGGATAGAGACACACATCTGTCTCACCGGAACTGGATAGAGACACACATCTGTCTCACCAGAACTGGATAGAGACATACATCTGTCTCACCGGAACTGGATAGAGACACACATCTGTCTCACCGGAACTGGACATACACACACACACACCTGTTTTACCTAATGACTTACCCTTATGGTGTATCCAGGCCAATCTTGTGCTGTTCCCAACATTGGGCCTTCCACATTTACGGTTTTTAGTATTGTGCCATCCACACATAGTATTTTCAAATGAACACATCAATTCCTCTGGCAGTGATCCTGTTCAGATAACAAATACAGTATCACTATAATTAATTAGATCATGAGTTCTTCAAGGTTGAAGTTTTTTTTCGGAATAGTGTCTTTTTTGTAATACACCACTGACACAGTAACTTTAATGTAGATCAGAAATTGATCACCATCCTGAACAGACCTTTTCAAAACTAAAAAAGGCCACCACTTGCCAAATCTAAATTAAATTGAAAACAAGAGGCCAAAATGGCCTGAATTGCTCACCTGTTATTTATCTTACATTTGTAATCTTTAAAGTGGACTTAAATACAGCTACAGGCAAAATACAAAAATAATCTATAAAAAGATTTAAACATGTGACACATGTGACCTTGAAAGTCAAACAAGAGCATTGAGTTGAACAGATTTTATAGCCTTTCATACCACCATGCGTCTGGCCAAATATCATTTACCTGGACTTTTAGATTCTTCAGAAGTTTCATCATAGATATCCCCTGTGACCTTACAAATAGATGAAGGTCATTCATTTGAACAAGCTTGGTAACCCTTTATCCCAGCATGTTACTGGCCAAATATCATCACCCTGGTCATTTGGTTTATAAAGAAGTCATTTAAAGTTTTCAACATATTTGACCCCTGTGACCTTGAATTAACTTGGTAGCCCTTAATCCCAGCATGATACTGGCCAAAGATCATCACCTTATGCTACTTGGTTATTCAGAAGAAGTCTTTAAAAAGATTTTGACCCCTGTGACCTTGAATATAAGTCAAGGTTATACATTTGAACAAACTTGGTAGCCCTTTATCGCAGCATGTTACTGGCCAAATATCATCACCCTAGGCCTCTTTGTTAATCAGAAGAAGTTGTTTTAAAGGTTTTAAACATATTTGACCCCTGTGACTTTGAACATAAGGTCATTCAATTGAACAAAAACAGAGTAAAATGTTTAAGTTGACAATTTTATTTGCCTCCAAAATAGGTTTAAATGCCGAATTTTGTACTGAAGAAGAAAGAATTAAAAAACCCTTCTAATTCCCTTATTGGTCACGCCCATCTGCCCCGAGGGGGCCACACCCTCTTTTAACACAAAATAAAATTCCTGTCCCCCAAGGATGCACCAGAAAAGATTGAACTTCATTTCTCTTATTCTGCCCTTCCCCTCTGCCCCAAGGGGCACCCTATGTGCACCCTAAGTTTAAATTTGGTCAAAATCCACAGAGCCATAAAGAGCTAGTATGGTTTTAAAAGTTGATGGACAACTGATAACAGTCGGATGATGGACGCTGTGTCATGGCATAAGCTCACTTCGCGAGCTAAAAACTTTAAATGTTGCAATACCTTGGGGCTTTTTAAATCATTGAAACAAAAACTGCTGATGTACAAGAAAAGCCATAGTGTCAGTGAACCAAATTGCTTGACATCAGAGTTAAGATTGGTGACCCAAAGCTGTTGTTAAATTTGTTGGTTATAATCCTTAGTGTACTTGACATGCTTTTATTGAATATATTGTACAAGATATGAACAATATCTTCATCTATTTGAAAGGTTGAGATGTACGTCAAACTAGGGGTGTGCTCATACTTTATAAAACTTGAATCAGAAGTACAAATGTTAAGTGGATGACAAAGCCATAGTATGTAACACGGCCAGTAATTTTCTACTTGAAAAAGTAAAAAGTCTACATTTCAAATGTTTAATCACTTGTTGGCATTGCATGAAATGCACCTCACTTTAATCTAGCCCTCAGGCAGAAGTCCTCGCTTTAATTTAGCCCTTAGGCAGAAGTCCCGCTTCAGATCCGCCGCAACTTCTTCCAAAAACCATCTTAAACCTTTCACCCCCATGCAACTTTAGTAGACTCTACCATACATTTTTCTGGATGAGTCGATTATGGTCCACAGTGGTGAAAGGGTTAAACCTGAGGGCGTGACCTCCAGAAACCCAACAAAAGAAAGAGTACAAAACAGGTTTCAGAAGTGTAACATGTGATGGGATTATCTAAATACCTGATGCATTAAGTAGGCTAGAATCAGATATACAAAACAGCACATAAAATATAGTAAATAAGATATTAAAGCTTAGCATTTGGAATTGTGCCCATAATGACCCTCCATAGTGTTATGTAATGCTTAATCTGCAAAGTACATCGTTTTCTAATTTTTAAATTGTGCTACGATCAAATGCTTTTATATTTCATAAAAAAACAGCTCACATAAATACAACATTTTCATATAAATTCTTTCCCAGTCAATTTATCCCCTACAGATTTGATTTGACAATGCTATTCATTTCCTAATGACTTGATTCTTTTCCTTATAATTCACAAATTTTCAAATTTGATTTTAGCCTCTAATCTTCATTTTAATCCCTGTCAACACATAATTAGTTTCCATTATATATTTCTTAACCAGAGCACACCTCAAAGTAGCATACGCCCATGATACTGTTCTGGTATGTAGGTGAAATTACTGTACACAGAGAGTCTCTGCCAACTAATTGCGAGTGCAAGGCTCACATGTACCGGAAAAATGAATGTACTATACGAGAATCGTATTATATAAGAATGCCAAATTCGTTTTTATTTAGAAGCACATTGTAAAAGATCTAAATATCTGAAACAAATTTCAACAATGGTACTTTTAAATAGAATGTTGACAAACTGATGTTTGGTATCACCTAGACAGCAACCCATATTGGTTTGTGTATAGAGTCAAAGTCATATCAATTAGGTTCAGAATGTAATGTCCGGTATATATTTTGAAGGTCATTGTGACATACTTTTTGTACTTTGCCATCCCAACAAAATATTTGCAAACCAAATCTGGTTTCTCTAGGTGAAAAAGTATACAGAATAAAGATATGCCTGGATAATTTTTTTCAGAGTTTATATTGAAAGTCTATAAGTCCACATGTCACAGTGACCTACTTTTTCTAATTGACACTCTGCCATCCAAAGATGTATTACATGCCTTTGACATAATATTCTGAACAGAAGTCAAATGAAAAGAGGCATAACTCAATGAGGTTTAGTCCAAATTTAAAGACATGCTAAAGGCCACAAGATCACTTAACAGTAAATACAGCGATCAGCTCAGAGCTAACAGTAACTACAGCGTTAAGCTTAGAGCTATCAGTAAATATAGCGATCAGCTCAGAGCTATCAGTAAATATAGTGATCAGCTCAGAGCTAGCAGTAAATACAGCGATCAGCTCAAAGCTAACATAACTACAGCGATCAGCTTAGAGCTAACAGTATCTACAGCATCAGCTCAGAGCTAGCAGTTACTACAGCGATCAGCTCAGAGCTATCAGTAAATATAGCGATCAGCTCAGAGCTAGCAGTAAATATAACGTCAGCTCAGAGCTATCAGTAAATATAGCGATCAGCTCAGAGCTAGCAGTAAATACAGCGATCAGCTCAGTGCTAACAGTAACTACAGCGATCAGCTCAGAGCTAACAGTAACTACAGCGATCAGCTCAGAGCTAACAGTAGCTACAGCGATCAGCTCAGTGCTAACAGTAACTACAGTGATCAGCTTAGAGCTAACAGTATATTCAGCGATCAGCTCAGAGCTAACAGTTACTACAGCATACGGCGATTATGCTAGAGAGCTAGAGATTATGAGTGACAATCACATCAATACTTAAAAACCAGGGTTTTCATTTATAGATGTGGAACAGACAGTCTTTCCTGATGTTGATAACACACGTACAGTCTGTACTTTGATAAGTATTATCATGACGCTTGTAGTAAATGTAATTCAGTGGATTGCGAGTAATATCTCGAACTTATGCATGTAATCAAGTGGTTGGTTTTTCTAGAGCCTAGTTAAGTTAGACCGAAATCTAACATAGCTATATTGCCTAATGGGACGTAGAACTGACTGCTTAAGTAGCTATACATTAATTGTTTAGGAAAATTTAAGCCAGAATCTCTTTTAGATTGTATATTACCTTCCTGTTGTAAGTGACAAAAATGTTGAATAAAAATACAAAATAAAAATATATCTATTACGGTATGATTCAAATATCATTTAATATTAATACACTGATTCCTAAATTAACATATCTCTTCCAAACTTGTACTCCGGGTGTAAAGTTTTCAGGGAATTGTAGCCTTAATTGTCATGACTGTTACATTACATGACTTTGGCCCTAAGTATCCATTCTTCCTGCAGACACAGAAAAAATAACACCTCAACAGAGTTTTAATAAATTGGTAACACTTTATTTGTCTGATTTTCCAAATTTCACTTTAATTTTTGAAAATAATTTAAAACTACCAGGGTAAATGATTGAAAGATTATATATGGTTCTGCATGTAGACTAGCTCCACTTTAACTTTAAATAGGCAATCATATATATCTACAGGATACAAAGGATTCTAAATAAATATATTTAATAATGACATGGAAACTAAAGTCAGATTCCAGAGCATGTTTCTTGGCAGGAGTTACTCCCCTTGAACCTGTAATATTTTGTAGATATACAAACCACAAAAATCTTTGTCCTCGTCCGAATGTTCCGCACCATCTGGACAGTCTACCACTAAGTTACACTGTTTGTAGGCAGGAATACACACCCCTGCACCACAGTCAAACTCTGACAGGTCACACGCCTCCCACTGTACGTCACCTGTAGGAGAGACACAATATATAATATATTATTTAACACTGACAGGGGGAGTCATATCTACCCCTTCCCACCAACTTCGTTTGTGGGTGGTTATAACAATGATTTGATGTATTTATACAATATTTCACTTGCAATATTGCATGTGAATTTACCAAAACTGCATAATTACACAAACAGTATGTTACGTGTACCTCCCTCGGAGCATGATTTTCCTTCACCTCAATTATCAAATGCGTTCAATCTTTCTGTTGAAATCATATTTTTTTTTTATTTATCTTAATTATATATGTCATAGTTTTATAGACTTATAGCCACATGCACTCTGCTTTTAAACCTTTTTAACTGATATTTCTTGTTTTCCATACTTCTGATTCCATTTCACTATTCATTCATTTTCATTCATTTCATCAAATTTTATTGACAAGATGTCATAATCAATTGGATTGAATAACAGGCAAAGCCTATATAAATTCTCTCCGTCAAATGGCCAAAGTTGAATAAACAAGGAGACATAATATTTTAGACATGTTGCAAATGAAAAAAATAACACAAAATAATTCATAATAACACAAGGCTAAGGGGAAGTAACTCATGAAGGAAACATCTCACACAC